CTGACTTCAGTACTAATAAAGCCACACAGCCTTTCCTTGCAAACACCAATAAGGTTTCCCCATTCCCCTGGAAAAAAATACTCCCGTTCATAAATGGGTTCCTACACAGACAACCACATACACACGCGCGCGGAGGGAAAGATTATGCATTTTCCTTCTCAGCAGAGATGTGTATTTACTGCATGGTTATTTAGCCATGACTTGGGCTGGCTGCTTCCTATTCCCTTCTGTGGTGTCATGCAAGTGGTGCTTAAGATGGACATTGTAGTAAATGTGCGCATGGACAGATGAAATAATGTTTTTAAAACATTATTTTATGCCTGACAGTCTGTATATCATTGAAAACCTGAAAGTGCCTGAAAGAATCATATTGAACTAATAAGAGATGCTAGCTGCATTCATAGATAAAGTTTACTGAGGTCATTCCCTTCCTGCAGATCTAGGGTTTAAAGTTGCAGCATACTGCATAATGAAAGAAAAAAGTGCAGATGAACCCTGATGTCCCCAAATAACTTCTCATGGGTATGAAAAGCAGTTGGCTGCAAAAGGGGGTAGTGGAAGGGAACCTTGGAAGGTCAGAGTGCCTCCAATCATTTTGAAGGCACTCTCAGGGGAGGTCACTGAATCCGTGAAGTCAGTGTCACTGTCCCTTCCTTGGAAAACTCACTTGAAAATCTGGGAAAACAGAAGCGCCAGAGGACTAGCGAAGGGCTAACATTGTCCCCATGTTCAAAAAGGGGAAAAAAATGAACCTGGGAATTATAGACCTCTTAGTCTTACATCACTTCCTGGAAAAATTCTGGAACAAATTAATAAAAAAAATCAGTCTGCAAGCATCTTGATGAAAATGCAGTGATTAATAGAAGCCAACATGAATTTATCAAAAACAAATCCTGCTAAACTGTTTTAAGCTCAGTTTTTTGACTGGGAACCTCCCAAATGAACATAGGAAATGCTGAGGAGATAATCTCCTTCTGCTTCAGCAAAGTTTTCAAAATAGTGCCCCATGACTTTCTGATAAGCAAATTAGCGAAAAGTGGACTAGATAAACTATTAGGCAGATCCAATATTGGCGGCCAAATTGGACTCAAAGAGTGCTCATCAATGGCACCTTCTCCCGTGGGTCCAGAAAGCCTAATTTTAATAAAAATAAAAAACCTGCCCCCAGGGAAGAGAGTCCCCAGGCAGCCCAGGACACAGCTAAGGGACGCAGACAAGGGAGAACGCCTTATAAGCCTCTCAGGCTAGTGGCCCCGCCCCTCTGCTTCCTCCTGGCCTCTCTGGCCCCGCCTCCCTTCCTCTCTGCTGCTCCTGTCCTCCCCGCTCCTCTGCCCAGCTCCTTCCTTGCCTTTGCAAGTCCCCTGGCCATGCTCAGCACACTCTCCCAGCCTCTGCCGCTCTGCCAAGAAGCAAGAGCCAAAAGGGCTCCCTAGGGTAGCTCCCTAGGGAAAAATACTCTCCATGTGAGGCTACTGCAGGCAAGAAACATGGAAGCAGATTACTAGTTTGGGGGTGGGGGCAGTTGCTGGTGGATTGGCAGTATCTCTACAGCACCCAAGAGACTTACAGCCGAACAGCACAAGCTGGAATAGGCCCCTGTGTGAGACGGTTTGGAGAAGCTTGATTTATAGCTATGCAGCAGCTAGCATGAGGTGGCAGCCCTTGCTAAGCTGGAAAGGCGCTGGCCTACAGCTGGATGGGCAACTGCATGTGGATGTTGACTGCTATGCATTATTCACACAAACAGGGCTAGTGAGTGCCACTTAGTACAACCTGGAATGCACACCATGGGAGCAAGAGGATTTAGTGCTGAGTAAAAAGGTGAAAGTCAGCAAATATGTCTAGCTCAATGACCCACATTGGAAATAGTTGGCAAACACAGAACTCCACAGGAAAAATCTCCTCCATGAGATCTCTGAACACAGTTGCACAACTTGGGTACAGAGGAAGCATGAATATTTTGAGGGTTTCAAATTTTGAGGGTTAGCTAATTGGTCTCCAAACCTGGGATGGCTAAGTATATGCTTATTATAGGGATAGTAGTAATAGGGATTGTTTGTTGTATGCAATGGTTACCGGTTTGTTTGCAGTACTGCAAAGCTATGCTTCCCAAACCTAATAATGAGAAAATAGTAACATTCGTGTTAGCTAGGTTTGAACACAAGAGAAATAGTGGAGTAGTGTTTCTCACATCAAGATTCTGAAGAAAAGAACAGAAAAGGGAGGGGTTTGTGTAATGTTGGGAAGTAAGTGTTGCACATTTATTCTGAACAATACGGCCCCTGATGGAACCATCACAAGGGCCCTCGAAAGTCTTACTACTCTGGCCCAAGAATTAGCTGAGAATTCAGGAATAGATAGCTCCCTCACAGGTTGGTTTGAATAATGGTTTGGAAGATGGAGAGGCACAATAGTCTCTGTTCTTACATCTTTGACAATGGTGATAGGGATACTCACTGCTCTGGGATGCTGCCTCATTCCCTGTACAAGAGGCTTAGTACAAAGGCTAATAGAGACTGCAGTTTCGAAACAAATGCCTTTAAAACTTCTGCCCTGTAATAACCAGTTGATGCTAATAGATGAAACAGATCCCGAAAGTGAACAAAATCAGGAGAAAGAATGTGAAGTTATATTATCAGGGAGGCCCCTTCTGACTTGCTCCATTTCTATGTTTCTGTGTTCTTACCCACTGATTATTAACCTTACAATGTTTGAAACTAAAATTACAGTCTGAAACTTTAGTAACATACATACATACATACATACATACATATATATAAATTTAAAATCTAGTTGAAGCAGAAACCCTAACCCTTCCCCTGGCCAACTGGGTCTAATTCCACCCAGAAATTCCCTAGTGCCACAGCTCCCAGACCAGACACAGATTTAGCACACAATTATGCAAGAATGAGGAATAAAACAAGTTTAGTAAGAGGTTAAAACATAGAGGTGGAGGGAAATAAAACCACCAGTTAAAAGGATAAAACAGGGTGAAGTGGGGAAGGCATAGGGAAGTTGGAAAGCAACAGTTTTACAATTGAAGCAAATCAAACACCCGCTCTCTCCCAATCCTGGGGTTTTGTTGTACGATTTGGACCCAAAAGCAACAAAGCTAACCCTCTAATCTAGACAGAGAATATCTACCTTCTAGTGAGGTACAACATACAGTGCATCACAAGGCTCTTTGCTGCAAATAGGCAGCAAAATGGATTCCCCAAAGAGGAACAAAGAGCTTCTCTGTCCCCTGACTCATTCCCTCCAACTGACCCATGAAGAGATGGCCCATCTCCCAATCTCTTGAGGCCAACCATTTGCTCCAGCAGCTGGTCATTGGTAATTTAGCTCTGCCATCTCTGGCATCCTTGAGTCCAAGTCTGCAATTCTGATAACTCCCAGGAGTACATCAGAAAGGGTTGTGAATTACTCATGAGACCTTGGGTGTCAGTTTCATGCTGAGCTGGCACCAGAGATTATGACACGTAATAGTTACAGTCTTATTCCTTGCTTGACCTAGGGGAGCCAGGAGATCTGCTTTATGTTGCATTAGTCATTGCGTTCCTGGGGTCCAAGGTAAGTAGGGTACCAAAAATGTTCATTGTGGATTAAGCCTGAGTGTTAATACTTCACATTAAACTGACTTTGCTAGTCTTTATTGGAGAGAGAGGAGGCAATCCATAATTTTCTGAGAACCAGGAGGTTAAATCTTTTGGTTTCTCCTTCCTCTGAAATCAGGTCATTCTAGCTGTTTCAACTCTATTCCTTTTCCTTTCATTTTAAATCTATTTCCACCTCCACAACCCACCATTTTCATCAGCACAAGAGTTTTGCTCTATAATTTCCATAGGTTTGTCCTCCTTATTTGGCAAATGCTAATTTCCCTGTTTTTAATGTCTCTTGTAACAAGTATACTAACCCATGTGCTACAGGGTATATTACCAAGCTATTTTTCCCTTCTCTAATGTGGAAATGAAATTACGTAAGAAATAAACCTATGTTTTTGGACCTTAAAAAGCATTTGAACCTATTTCTCCATTTTAGTCATAGTTATTCCCCCTAAATGCATATCTCATGTTAAACATTCTCTTAGATCTGCATTTGTCAGTGCACATATATATATGGAAACTAATGTGTATATATGAATGAATATATGACAACAATCCTGTGAATATTTTGGCTACCTAGAAACTGATAATGTGAAGTTATCACATTATCACAGGGAATAAATAAGACCTTCAATAAAATATTGCAACATAAAGTACTCCTGTATAGGGTTCCAGCCCTGCAGCCCTTTTCTAGTGTACTCCATTCTATTCTCTCCGATTCCCAATTTTCTGTACTGTCCCCTGCTGACACCCCTCAGTATTTTGGCTACATAGGTACTGAAATTCATCCATTCAAGTTGAGAAAGAGAGAATGATGAAATAACTTGATAGCAGCTGTCTTACAGCACAATGTTATACAAGTTTCCTCAGAATAAGTTCAACTAAATTTATTGGTTTTACTCTTAAACAAATGTGCATAGGTTTAAGGCCCTAATGAGAGTATATGCAAGGCTTCATTAATATTTTGTAATTGCTATGAGACAACATTAATATGGACCTGAATTCTGAAAAATCACAGTCCTATAAAAATATCAGCATTTTCTTTTATTCTAGCTACCAGAACAATTTGTGTAACACCAAAGGTGAAATTTGTCTGAACTTGAAACAAGCCTGTAACAGAAAATGATAAAAAGATCATACAAATACAATTTCTATCATACCTGGAATTTCCCCTGAATTTGAAAAGTTTTGCAAATAATGAGGAGGAGGAGGAGTAAATAAGGATCAACAAAATCCTTAAACAAAGTAGCCATATGACTAATTTTATCTTCTTTATCACAGGCACAGCATGTAAGTCTATGGTTTGACTTATAAGGAATTGAGGAGAAAAACAGGGCAAAGAAATTTTCCTAAAAGGCAAAATAAATGAGAAACTCTTTACTGTGTTTAAATCATTACCTGGTCTTCAAAGTCAAATTCAGTATCAGAAATGTCACCAGGGTCCACAATGAGATGATGGTCAACCTTACATGGACCTAAAGAGAAAAAGAATTTTTAAAATAAAACTGGAAGATTTCACTTTGTATGATGGGATATGAAAATGTTGCATATATAAATTACTGTGTTAGGAGAAGAATTTCAGTAAAAGAATAATTGTCTATATATTTTCCAGAGGGATACTTTAAAAGATTTATTACAAATACCTATTCAAGTTTACATTTTAACACTTATCTCCAAATTTGCAATATTTAATTCTAAAATACAGAGAACCTTAGAGAAAAGAGGGGTGAGTAAGCACCACAGTTAGTGGAAAGAGCTTGAATAGTTGTGGGTCTTCTAATGTGACAGACATTCCAATCTAAGCAGACACCTGAGTTCAAACACAACTATTTAGACTACAGTCTTAGAACCACTTACAATATAATCCTAATGACTTCAATGAGTCTTATTTTGAGTAGACACATATAGGGTTGCAATTTTAGATGTGACAATTTTCATTCCCTAAAACTGTTAGGCTGCAATCCTATAGTCACTTACCTGAGAATAAGTCCTATTGAATTCCATGTGCATTATTTCTGACTAGAAATTTAGGAATGAATGTACTCTTAAGGCAGTTACCCTAAACATATTTAATGGGGAGAAAACCTCATGAAGCACAGCATGTTAACTTCTCAGTAAACATGCACTGGGTAGTGCTGCATCACAGGAAATAGCAACACCTATTCCAAAGAGGGGAAAAGTGATGTATCCTCCCTCTCTTTACTTCACCATGACATAATATTTCACTGCCCTCCAAATAAGGAAGCAAGCTTCTAAACTGCAATTTACCAAAACAAGTAGCAATGGTAGGTTTAGATCTAGGAATTAACTACATTAACAGAAGTGGGTTTATTTACCCTCTCCTTCCCACAGCAGCCCCTCCAGACCCCTAAAGTGCCACATAGAAAGTCAAGGGGTCCTTGTAAAAGCCACCCCAGAGTCCCCATTTTCCTGTGGCTGGCAAGGTTCACCTTTCCACCCTGCTTTCCTGGTCTCCAAACACTTGTCCAGACACTGGATTTAGCACACAACAACCCAAGTGTTGGGGAAAATCTATTTATTAAAAGATAGGGTAAACAAGATAGGTGTGGGGTCTTAAAACATTGTAATACATGCACATGGTAGGCATGTCATGAGCAGAGCCAGCTGGAGCCAGAGGTCAGACTAGATGGTCCAGGAGACCCCGTCTGACTTGCTCTGTTTCTGTGTTTCTAATACACAACATGCACAACAACAGGGTGGGAAAGGGAACAGAAAACTGGAGTGCAGCAATTTCACTGGACCCTTATGGTCTTAGCTTCCCCCAAAGACCCCTCCAGGCCAGTTGGCCACCTCAGACTCAAAATAATAAAGCTAGCTGTTCCTAAAACTAACAGGATATACAATACTCAACATAGCCTCCTTCCTTGTAGAATAGCACAGCATTCTTTCGCAAAGCCTCTGGCAATAACAGGGAACCTCTTCTCAGAGAGGAACCGTGATCTGTCCCAGCTGCCTGCTTTTATTCTATTAGATCAAACATATGTCTCATGGGTAACATCTCCTGACATTACCCAGGCAAGAATGGTATAGTCTTTAGGCCTGAAATCTCCAGCCTTGGAGGGGAGTGTGAATGGTTCTGTCCTTGGAAGTAATTTACAGTTTCTTGGGGCTTTCTGTCTTCCAAGACTTGGTGCCTTACTTTCCTTGAATTGCCACCTGGCTGGAGCAGCTAGGCCTCTGCCTCAAGTGTTAACTCTTCCCTGGCCGAGGCACCATCATTCTGCTCTTCATTACAATCCTACTGGATAGCTACTTGTGGAGTTTGAATGTGGGAGCAAGGCAAGGGGGGATCCCTCAAAATTAGGCATAGAGTATGCCAAATGCTTCCTTTTATAGAAGGCAGCTCCTGAATCCAACAAGGATTACACCATGCTTTTATTAATTGAGAATTACATAACAGGAAGAATACAATCTATTGCCCTAGACAGTACAATTTCTGTAGTGGTCCTTCATCAGCTAAGTCTGGCATGCTGTGGGATGGATATCTGAATTTACTGTGTACTGAGACCTGAACAGGCAAATCAGATCTCTGTTGCTGTACCCTTAAATTCTTAACCATCTATCTATGGCAATCAACCGACTAGATTTTTAGTTTTGCAGGATTTTAGACCTGCAAAGAATGAATGTCCAGATCCAAAGGGGAGTGTACAATCAAACATTCAACAGTTTATTAACAGCAAACAGTTATTCTTAATACAACAGCCCTGAGGGGCAGCTAGTTTAAGACCAACTACAAAGAAACAAGGCATATACAGAGTGTTTTATGGAGTTGGTGTCACTTATGCATTGCAGGGAGGGGAAGAGGACTATTTATTTAAAACATTTGTATGCAGCCCAATTGTGCCATAGCACCTCTGGGTGGCTCACAACCACAAGATAAAAACAAAATAAAAACATAGCAAAACCATAAGACATTAAAAACAATAAAATACAGCAAAAATACAAAACCAAGGTCTTATGGCAATTAGTTATTAGGTTTTTTTTAAGGAAGGTCTTCACCTGGCTCCAAAAAGAAAGCAAGGAAGGCACCAGGTGAATCTCCTTGGGGAGAACATTCCAAATATGGAGAGCAGCTGCAGAAAAAGCCCTCCTCCTAGCGGCCATCCCTCTCACCTCCTTCAGGGATGCTCACACAGGAGGGCCTCCTGCACAGAACTCAAAGGCCAGGTAGGGACACATGGATGCAGGTGCTTCCTAAGATAGCCAGGGCCTAAGCTGTTTAGGGCTTTATATGTCAACACAAGCACCTTAAATTGGGCCTGGGCCAATTGGTAACCAAGGCAGAACTTTCAGTGTAAGTGTTATGTGGGCTGCTCTAGAGGCTTCTGTCACCAACTGAGCAGTCCTATTCTGTACAAATTGTAATTGCTGGACCATCTTCAGGGACAGCCCCACATAGAGTGCATTGCAGTAATCTATTTTACCAGGGCATGGGTGACTGTTTTCAGGCTCTGTTAGTTCAGGGAGGGATGAAGCTGGTATATCCTCCTTAGCTGGAGGAAAGCTCACCTGCTATTCCAGGGACAAATCTGGGTTCAGGAGCACCCCAAGACTGAGGACCCTCTCCCTTAGGGGGAGTGCAACCCCATCAAGGACAGGGCAATGCCCCTCCAACCTGTCAGATGACCCCCCCTACTAGCAGCACCTCCATCCTGTCAGAATTTAGCCTCAGTTTATTGACTCTCATCCTGTCCATTATCGAGCTCAGACCCTGGTTCAGGATGGCAACAGCCTTACCTGGATGAGATGTAAAAGAAAGGTAGAGCTGAGTATCATCAGCATATTGTTGAATCCTCAGCCCAAATCTCCAGATGACCTCTCCCAGAGGCTTCATATAGATGTTAAAGAGCATGGGGGACAGCACTAAGCTCTGCAGTACCCATGGTGGAACTGCCATGGTGCAGAGCAACAGTCCCCCAGGACTACCTTCAGGACTTGGCCAGCCAGCTAGGAGTGGAACCCACTGCAAAGCAGTGCCTCCAGCCCTGACCCCAGACAATCTGTCCAGAAGGGCACCATGGGCAATGGTGTTGAAAGCTGCTGAGAGGTCAAGGAGAACCAGCAGGGTCACACTCCCCCTGTCCCTATCCCTGCAAAGTTCAGCATACAGGGTGACCAAGCCTGTCTCCATCCCAAACCCAGGCCTAAAGCCCAATTGAAATGCATCCATATACTCCATATCCTCCAAGGGTGCCTGCAGGTGCCTGGCCACCACCTGCTCCAACACGTTGCCCAGAAAGGGGAGATTAACAATGGGTCATTAGTTATCCAGTACACCTGGATTCAGGTGTGGCCTTTTAAGGAGTGGTCTCACTACTGCCTTCTTTAAAAGGGCAGGGACCACTCCCTCTTTTAATGAGGCATAGTCAGCCCACTGGACCCAGGGTCAAACCCCATCAGATTTCCCAATCAACCAAGATGGGCAAGGGTCAAGGAGGCATGTGGTGAATCAAACAGAGCTAAGCACCTTGTCCACATCCTCAGGTCTCAGTAACTGGAACTCATCCAATAATGGACCATTAGATGGTACACTAGACACATCTGGAGGTTGCACTGCACAATTGGCAGAGTCAAGCTCTAGGCAGATCTGAGTGATTTTTCCCTCAAAGTGCAAAGCAAATTTGTTACACAGAGCTGCTAAGGGCACTGGGGTCTCATCCGGAGAACCAGATTGTAGGAGGCCCCGGACCCCTCAAAAAAGCTCAGCTGGACAGCATTGCAAGGAAGCAATAAGGGAGACAAAGTATTCCTGTTTGCCTGCCTTATCGCCACTAAGTAGGCTCAGTAATGAGGTCTTAAATGTGTTCAATCAGCTGTCTCCCTACCTGCTTCATTGCAGAAATGTCAAAAAAATCATCAGGAAAACATCATGACACATCACAAGCTTCAGCAAAACATTAAAAAAAAAAACAATCAGCAGTTACAGATTTTAACAGGTTTCAATGTCTGCTTTTTAAAATTTGAGGTAGGAAATTCCAGAAAGACAATGAATGATCCATTCCCTGAAGCCATTAACAAGAGGGCCACGTTCCAGGCAGTAGCAAGCAGAAACGTTTTTTTGGATTTGAACTAGTTACATTATATCTTCCTCCTGCCACCTGTGCTCAGCATTTGAGGAAGCAATCAGCCAGCTGGTGACTCATTTCCATATCCTGGGGTTTTTCTCCTTTTCCCATAAAAGGAACATGAATGGAAAAACCATTGATATTTGGGGGGGGGGCGCGGCGGTGAAGGAAGGGAGGCAAAGATTTCTGTATTCCAATATATAAAACTATTACTTTTACGAGGAAAACTCCAACATTTTCAGAAGCTTATTTCTGTTCAATGAGTGATTTATTCTTCCTGAAGGTGTCCATGCCCCCATATCTATTTTATCCCATGAAGAAAAATAGAATTGGCTCTCATTTCTGGTTCCCAACTCAGAGCAGAGCAGAGCAACCTGCTCCAGAGAAAGCTGTTTAGAATGCTGGGCTGAGAGCAAAAAAATGAAATGCCAAACCCTCCACACAAAAACAAGAAACCAAATGCATCGCTACAAAATGGGCAATACTTGGCTCATCGTTACTGCAAAGGAAAGAAATCTTGGGGTTGTTGCAGATCACAAGCTAAACTTGAGCTATCAATGTGATGCAGCTGCAAAAAGGGCAAAAAGTGTCTAGTACAGGACACTAAGTTATACCATTCCACTGTCTAGTCATTTCCTGAATGCTTCTAGCATAGGAGAGTTCATAATAATCCATAAGAAACCATAATAAAACGGGACCATATAGACTGAATCACTAAGGTTACATAAACAATGGACCAAGGAGACTCCACAGTGGTGATGACTCTCAGAACAAGTGGCTATTATCTCTGATGCATCTTGGAAAACATGAGAAGTGCCAGACGACTGGAGAAGGGCTAACGTTGTTCCTGTTTTCAAAAAAAAAAAAAAAAAAGCGGGGGTTGGGGGAATGAACCTGGGAACTACAGACCAGTTAGTCTCATATATCAATCCCTGGAAAAATTCTGGAGAAAAGTATTAAAAAATCCATCTGCAAGCATCTTAAAGAAAATGCAGTGCTTAATAGAAGCCAACATGAATTTAGCAAAAATAGATCCTGTCAGACTAATTTAATCCCACTTATTGGCTGGGTAACCTCCCAAATGGACAAAAGGGACACTGTGAACATAATCTACCTAGACTTAAGCAAAGCTTCCAACATAGTGCCACACAACATTCTGATAAGCGAATTAGAAAAGCTGGATCCAAAATTGGCTGCTGAAGTGGACATGAAGAGTGCTCATCAATGGCACCTTCTCAAATTGGATGGAGGTCACAAGTGGGGCTCCTCAGGGTTCAGTCCTGGGCCCAGTGCTTTTCAACATCTTTATTAGAGATGAGGAAGTGCAAGGAAAGATAATCAGATTTGATACAAAACTGGGTGGAACAGCAAACGACTTAGAAGACAGAATGAAGATCCAAGGCAATCTTGATAAACCTGAATGCTGGGCTGAAAGCAGCAGAATGAGATTCAATAAATGTGAGTGAATAGATAGGATTCCCCATGTTAGAGTGGGGAAAGTAGCCTTTTTTTCTGCCTTCTAACCTTGAGGCAAACTGGATGGAAAATATATGTTTAAGTTGTAACTGCAAAATCTATTTAAATAACATGCAGAATTTTATAGGTTCTTTGGTATATAAACTATCCAAACTTTTTTACCAATGTAGTTAATATGCTTAATACATGGACTGGGTAAAATCCAACATAAAGCCTAATTTGTGTAAACCCATTTAAAAGAATGGGGCTTAAGTTAGGTGTCTTAAAGGCTCTATTCTAAAGAAGACTTATGTTTTACTGATTATGAAAATCGCTACCCTTCTGCCTCAGGCTAAATAAAATACCTTGTCCTTTAATCATTTTTTCTTGAGAAGGTGGTTCTTCAAAGGCGATGGCCAAAAAGTTTCTTGGTTCTCTTGCAGATGTTAACTCACCAGGTCCAATGAGCTGGACCCAATGGCCTTCCTGGCCTCTTCCAACCCTACTATTCTATGAAATTGTCATAAAGCCTATTCCTTGAGCTTTTCCTCATCAGATTGCATCCTGTCCCCCACCACAGGAGAGAACAGGTCATGATCAGGTGACACTCTTTCACATACCTATACATCACTGTAAGATCCCCTCTGAGTCTCCTCTAGGCTGAAAAGTACCAGCTCCCACAATATTTTGGCCCAAGCATCAACATTTTTTGAGCTTGAAAACATGCAATTTTATGCAAGCTAGGCTGAATCTAGTATTGAAATAGTAATCAACTCACCTGCCTTAGATTCTTGAATGGGAAAAATTTTGTTGTCAACTGCTATGCTTATGTCACGAAATACTTCTTCCTCATCTCCATCAGCATCAAACTAGTGACAAAAGAAAAAACCATCAGGCTTTAGAAAAGGAACACTTACTTGACCATGTGCTATGGTAGAATATGGGCATATAACAAAGACCTTTGGAGCATATATTTACATCTCAGACATAGCACCTCAAATCACTATTATTTACCTGTGTTACCTGCCTTGTCTTCAAGATACTAAACATGGCAATGTCATGCAATGGGATTCTACCATTTTATTTGTTTTACATTTATATACTGCTCCTATAGCCCTTCAGGGCTCTCTGGGGAAAGGGAGGGGTGTATAATCCAAAATAAATAAAAACAATCATAATATTCATTCGATAAAAACCATGCAATACCATACAATAAAAATGCAATACAATCTAAGAGACAACTACAATAGTCAGCAAAGCAGTGATAAAAACAGCAGTGGTAAAAACAATCATTAAATAATAATTCAAATGCTAAAAATATAAAAAGTTGTATTCCTAAAATGTCTGGTTAATAGAAATGTCTTTGCCTGGCATTGAAAAGATAATAATGAGGATGTAATTCCCTGGGGAGCATATTCCATAAATGGGGTACCACCAACCGAGAAGGCCTTTCTCCTGTTTGCCACCCCCTCAACTCTTGGTGGGAGGCAATTCCTGAGAAGGATCTCTGAAGCCAATCTTAGTGGTCAGGTAGGAACATATGGAACTGGGCATAGGTGTATTATGCTCACAACCACCTTGTGAGTTAGATTAAGCTAAGAAGTAATAAATGACCCATATAGTTATCCATTGACTTTCATGGCTGAGTGATTCCAGACTGCCCTAATTCAAGTCCTATATTCTATCCAATATACCATGTTAACAAAGTTAGGTACCCTGAGGTCAAGGTATATCGTACCTTTAAACATGCCAGGCTATACCATACCTTAAAAATAGTTGATTGGGCTATTGATGAAGGGACATCCATATAAGATTTAAAGCTACATGAACAGCCAGCTTGTTACCACTTCATTTTCCCAGGTAACCAACATTAATCTAGTTTTATAATTGTGAATATAATTGTGAATGAAACTATATTATTTAAAAAAATAATTTAAACTTTTCTATGCTGTCCTTTGCAACAAGCCTCAGGATGGCTTACAAAAGGTAAAAACAGTAATATAAAATACAATTAAAAACATTCAAAAATAGCACAACATAAGCAACAGTTCATAACTAAAGAAAAAAAGGAAAGAAAGAAAATCTGACTGTGTAGGATTACTATTATTAAAATTATTGATATTAATTATTAAAATTGTGGCTAAATAAAAATAATAATCTGGTTTGATCAAACCACAGTTCTCCATTATAACCAAATTGAACAAATGGCCAAGATCAGTTTTGAAACCTAGGATCAAATTGTAGTTTGCATGGCAGGAAAAACAAGGTTATGAAAGAGTTATTACAGAAAGGCCTTTTATGTGGTCTGTTGTACATATAAGGATTTTTTTCAGGCAGTGTATGAGGAATGTGTTTATGTCAGGAACAGAACAGATGGCAGTGATGCTGGCCCTATTACATGGACTCATTTTGTGTAAAATGCTTGAAAATGTGTCTGCTTTCTTTGGCTACTTGAAGGAACCTGTCAAGCTAGAAGACTTGGGGAGCCCTGCTATCTTATTTGTTGGTGTGTGCTTACTTGCATTTTGCATATTCAAACCACAACCGGGGGTCCCCATGTCATCCAAAACTAGCTACCACAGATTAAGTGGGGGTTAACTGCTCCCACATAACTCTTGATCTTGTAGGATTACACAGGTTGGTAAACTTAATCCTCACGTAACCCACAGTGGCATGCACTTTGACTCACTATCATCCAAAAACTCATAGTAGGCTGTTTTAATCATCTGACAGAATGTTTCAGTCCAAACAGAATCATGCAACAGAATGTTTCAGTCCAAACAGTAAACTATAATTTATCATTATAAGAATAAACATAACCTCTTATCGCTGCCCTTGTCAACTGGAATAGCTATCAGGCATTTGGAAGCTTTTACTATGGCTACTTTTAGGTACAGTTAGAGAAGTAAGACAACTTCAAAGCAGAGTTAACAAGCTGGCTTGTTTTCACTTACCTTAGTTAAGATTAAGCACAGTTTAGCATTTGATGGCACACTAAACTGCAGTTAATTTAGGGGGAAACAGAAGAGTCCAGTCTCTCCTTTGTGGCTACATGGAAGAACAAAGGAGAGGAGGCAGGAGAGACAGACCTCTGATGGTGTGGAGCTAGGCTTATTGTTATAATAATATACCATGGTTACATCTGAATACTGCCATTCTATCTAATATCAGCAAGCTAGTGAGGAAAACAGCATAAACAGCATGCATTTCTTAAGGAAGATTAGATTCTTTAAATAAAAAGACTGAAAGCAGAAAAGTGTCAAAGAGTCTTAATTAATTGTGTTATGTGATTAATTAAAGATCTATACCTTAGATTAAAACTAAATCTGAAGTATTCTGGTACTCTGTTATGACACAAAAGCAATTAAATTAAAGTAGGAGCCATAGCAATTAGAACTGAATGCTAACTGAGGGATACAAGGAGTTGTATTCAAACACATCTAGAGGGTGTTAGATTGGGAAAGGTGATATACCGAGTTGATTATAGCTTGGTGCATTGCAGTTAATGGACTTAAGAATGCCTGACTGCTTAGGGTAGGGCAGAAATCTTATTTATACTTACTTAGTAGGAAGCTTCATTGAACTGTGGGAGTTACTTCTAAGTAAACATGCACAGGATTGGGTTACACAGCTTTTAATCTGTTGATTAAAACAATCACAGTTTCTGATTCTGCTTTTTACATAGATGCTCCTGAGTGAAATCTACTTACCTATTTTTTAAATGTTCCAAGAAAACTGCCATGTTTAATTGGAAGTTCTCTTGCTGTGAGGGTAAGAAAGGACTAATGAGAAGGTTTGCATTGTGACGAGTGGGTGATTATTTAGCATTATGTGATCAAATGGGAGAAGAGGTCCATGCTGCTGATCCAGCTTATGATTGCATTTTAATTGCTTTTTAAAATTTAATGACAGATATGCTGAGTGTCTTTGACAAAAGAAATTTCCCATTCTGTTCCCTGAATCAGTTCCTAGCCAAGCAAGCTAATTATTTTTTAAAGTACACCTGGCATCTCTTTATTTTCCCAGCATTATTACATGTGTGTTCTGAAAACTGTTTTCTGTTTTCTTCCAACTGTTATCAGAAACCATAATGAAACTGAACCATATAGACGGGAGTGTCTTGGACCACATTCATGAAGAAAAATGGTGGATATATATATTCCCCTCAGGTTTTCTACTTATTTTGGGTCATCAGCTTGCTAATTTAGAGTAGTCTTCCCCAAGCTAGTGGTTTTCAAATGTGTTGTACTACAACACCCATCATCCCCTTCTGCTCTAGCAACAAATGATAGTTCCAAATCACTTGGGACTTTCTGGAAATGTACATTGGTGCATGTTAGCAAAAAGGGTGAGGGGTTACAAAATGCTGACATTAGTCCAGAACTAGCACAGCCCAAAGATTGAAAAAAGTCTTCCATCTTTGCCTTAGTGTGGGAAAGTTCATAATCTCCCTAGGTAATAAGTTCCATAGTCGTACTGCTCTGACCATGAGGAATTTTTTCCTGGTATCTAGAATGAATTTAGTTTCCTGTAACTTAACTCTGTTTTTCTGTGTCCTGCACTCTGGAATGAATGCAAAGAGATCTTTTTATTTTCTTAACATAAGCAAAATATGAAAAGAAGAAAATTATATGTAAAATAAAGTAAAATAGAATAAAGTTGCCAAGGGATTTTAAACATGCACAACCAATACATTCAAACCCACACATTTATCTTTCTTTCTGTCATTCAGCAGAATGACAAACTTCATTTTTAAGATGTTAAACTAATTCAGATTCAAGAGTTAAACTAATTAAAAATAAAATTAGAATCTACCTTGCAGATGCCTTCCCTTCCTCCCTTCCCAATAGGATAACAAAAGTCTTTGACCTTGAGGATTTGGAAAGACCACACTATAGTTGGTCTTTTTTACAGACTTGATGAAACCAACATTTTGGAATCAAAAGAGTCTACCCAAATGAGTGACATAGTTCCTTCTTCAACCATGCCTGTGACAAATTTCTTTGATCCAGTCATACTACCATGAACAGATTCCACTTTGCTTTTCATAAAAAAATTAAAAAGAGACATTTTGGCAAGATGCAAATTGGTTTACAAAATCCATTCTGGTTCCAGACTCCTAGAGCAGAGCAAGCTGCCCCAGGATACAAGCAGCCAAGCTCCCAGGGAGCAAGTGAGCAGGGAGAGAAAACAGGAGTTTGGTGGAGGAGTTTAGCATGGGAGGACCCTAACATTTCCCCACCTTCCTTTCTGTACTTTCATCCCCCTTATTCCCCCACCACACACACACACACACACAGTTATTTTCCTCATAACACTCTCTCATTTACCAGTAGGACTGTATTGCTAACCTTTAGCAAAGACAGGAGAAAGCACCAGCTGTCACAACAGCCCACCCCAAGACAGAATCACTTAGTTCTTCTGTGTAATCTTGCCACCTCTTCTTAATCTCTTTTGCCTCTTAGGTCTCTGCCATTTTGGTCCTTTATCGTGCCCATCTTTGCATGAAATGTTCCCTTTGTATCTCCAATTTTCTTGAAGAGAGCTCTAGTCTTTCCTATTCTATTGTTTTCTTCTATTTCTTTATACTGTTCATTGAAGAAGGCATTCTTATCTCTTCTAGCTATTCTCTGGAATTCTGCATTCAGTTGGGTGTATCTTTCTCTTTCTCCCTTGCCTTTCGCTTCCCTTCTTTCCTCAGCTATTTGTAAAGCTTCCTCGGACAGTCATTTTGCTTTCTTGCATTTCTTTTTCTTGGGGATGGTTTTAGTTGCTAATTCCTGTACAATGTTGCGAACCTCCGTCCATAGTTCTTCAGGCACTCTGTCTATCAGATCTAATTCCTTAAATCTATTTGTCACCTCTACTGTATATTCATCAGGAATATGATTAGGTCATACCTGGGTGGCCTAGTGCTTTTTCCTACTTTCTTCAATTTAAGCCTAAATTTTGCAAGAAGAAGCTCATGATCTGAGCCACAGTCAGCTCCTGGTCTTGTTTTTACTGACTGTATAGAGCTTCTCCATCTTTGGCCGCAGAGCACAGGTGGAAGGCTAAAGCAGGATGTGAACTGTGGATAGCGAGGGATGCCAAGAACAACACAAAAGCCTTCTTCAGTTACATCAAAAACTAAAGACATGTGAAAGAGAAGGGTGTCCAGCTAATTAAAATGGATGGCAGATAACAGATGACAAGGAAAAGGCAGAAGCGCTCAGTTCTTCCTTTTCCTTAGTCTTCTCCCAGAAAAAAGTCTACAACCAAGAGGAAGTAAAAGCTGAAAGTGAGAGATGGCAGCCCAGCATTGACAGACAAATGGTCAAGGAATACCTAGATGGAATAAACAAGTTCTAATCTCCATTGCCTGATGAACTCCATCCCAGACTCATAAAAGAGCTAGTGGAGGAACTCTGAGTAACTGGTTATTAGCTTTGATACATTTTGGAAAACAGGAGATGTGCCAGAAGACTGGCTAGCATTGTCCCTATCATTAAAAAGGGGGAAAAGGTGAACTTGAGAACTACAGGCTATGAAGTGTCTGTAGTTCCAGGGACATCTATCCCTGGAAATTTCTGGAGACAATTATTAAAGAATGAGTTTGCTAACATGTTGAAGAAATTGCAGTGATTCATAGAAGCTAACATGGATTTTACAAAAATACATCCTGTCAGACTAATTTAATTTCATTTTTTGACTGGGTATCCTCCCAAATGGACACAGAGGACACTGTGGACATAATCTACCTAGACCTTAGCAAAGCTTTCGACTAGTGCCCATGACATTCTGATTAGCAAAAACTGGACTTTAGCCTAGATCATACTGAGCTTGCCTACTATTCCCCTGGTTGATTCTAGAGAGTGAGTGCAGGTTCATGTGTCAGCAGTTCTCATTTGATCACTTTTGGGAGTGTGTAGAAGCACTGTCTGGCTAGTAGACATACCAGATTTTTAAGGAAGGCATTGTTTGTGTCAATCAGCACCTTCATGTTGGAGCTTTTCCCATGCCTACAGCAATGGAAGCAACCCATTGTAATAGGAACATCAATGATCAGGAATGCAATGCACACAGTTTACAAAAAAGGTGCACTCTGGTGATTGTGGCAGAGTCACAAGCTGTACCCGCTGAAGTTGATTGCATGAGAGCCTCCATCATGTGTGATCAAAGATTTGAAATACCTATTCTCAGAACAGCATTCCACTGTCAACCCCTAATTATTTAAGTTTAATTTTTAAAATTGAGTTAATGGGTTTGTAACCTGAGTTTTCCTTCCATTTACAGAAAGAACTCTGGTTCATAGGTTTATTCTACCCTGTAATCTCAGCACCATCTTTCATGTTGTTCTGGGGAGCCTGGAAACAATTCAGAGGAAGCTGAAGGGCACAGAAGGCTACAAGGAAAAGGGGGATCAAGGTAGATCCCATGAATAATTCTGTTTAGGGTCAAAGCTATGAGGTACATGCTACAGAGACCTCAAAATATGCCATGTTCTTTCCTTTGTTTAAAGAAACCCAATGGTCTCTTGATAGTACTAAAATCATCTTTATCTCAGAATTTAGAAGACCACTAGTTTTTTGAAATGGGGCACTTCACATATGAAATTTGCCTATGCAGATATAGTTAAAAGCACCATTTTTACATGAAGAAACCCTGTTAATTAGAAATCTAGTGATTATTTTCAACATCACCATCTCTGTACCAAAGCTCTCACAGCAGTTCAGCAATGGTGGATTCCTAATACTTTACACATGATTAAAATACACAAGCTGCATCACACTATATGTAGGTGCCTGCATAAACTAGCATACACCTCTAAGTGCCATGATGCGGCCATTTGGCAACTTTCACGTGGTTGTTCTCATGGCTCCTTGAACTGCAGTTCAATTACTTTTCATACTTCCAAGTTCTACTGAAATTTTCATCAGGTTGAATTAGTCCCTTCCATTCTTTCTTACAAAGATGTTTAAGTAAGCCTGACTCTGGCATAATATTAATATTAATATTAATTAATATTTCATCTACAGACAGAAACAGTCACTTGTTAAAAGAAGTGCGTATTTTAGAAATATGAGCAAGAACTATTTGGATCTGTTTAGTGTTCATCATGGCCAGTTTACTGGAATCAGTGAATCACTAGTCCTGAGATGGTACACAAAGTTTTTATGGGATTTTGAAAGCATACTTTCCCAAAGAACATCTCAATTTCCAAATAAATGACACTGTTGCCTTGACAGAAAACTCATGGTTTCAGCCACTTCATTTTACTTAGAGAAAATAAGCCATACATGCTGACTGGCATAACTGAAAAGAGTACAATCTATTATTATTTATTTATTAAATTTATGCATCACTTCCCACCACTAAAATCAGCCTCAATATCTGGAAGTTCGTGATTATAGTAACAAAATCCGAAAAAATAATATAAACCATAATTAGTACAATAATGCAAATACAAATAAAACCACAAAATATAACCTAAATATAATGCAACATGAAAATGGTCATACACAAGACACAAAATCTTCCCATGGTCACAGCCTAGAATGAACAGCACAACAGTTGGGTATAACTGATGCCCAAATGCCTGGAAAATTAAGTCTTTGAGTCATGCCAAAAAGATGAAAGTGTTGGTGCCAAATAAGCTTCTTTGGGGTGAGCATTTCATAAACACAGGCTTTGAAATAAATTAAAATGGTGAAGAACCATAGGAGTTTGTCCAGTCCCTTGAGCAATATTAGAACTTCAATTCTCACATATTTCTATTACATAAACTTGAACCAGATACGTTATAGAATACAAGCATCATACAAAGGTAGCTGGACTTACCTGCAGGACTGGTGTGGGGAATCTTTCCAAACAATAAATATGGGGATTACAGTACCACTCTGCGGCCGTTTTTTATGCTTGCTTATCCTGTGTATCCCAAACCTGCTTTCAGCCTTTAACACTCTGATCCCAACCTACCTTAAGGGTCAACTTGTATATTCCATGTAGTTTAATTATTTTCCCCAGTGCCTGTTTTAAAATGCAAAACCACCATGCCTTCAAATTGAGTGAAAGACTAGAACAGACAAAAGAGCTATTTATACTTAATATCCTTCTGCAGCCATGTATTGGTTAAAGATCACCTCCCAGTATCTCCCCCCACCCACACAGTTGGGAAAACCCTAAACCCTAAAGTAGTGAACATACACCCATATGAGAGAGAGAGAGAGAGAGAGAGAGAGAGAGAGAGAGAGAGAGA